AAATTATAAGCAGATTAAATTACACAAAATTTTCTTAAAAACCTGCTGTTGGCCAGATTGGGCAACACTACTACCAACAAGCTTCCGCCTATTCGCCAGTTTCCTTTTCGCGAGTTAGCAAACGGTGGCTGCTAAGCGGTGTTAGGTGAAGAAAATCCGGAAAATTCGAAAAAATATTGCGTAAATGTCGGTTTTTGGTAAAAATTCAGTAGTTCTGATATTGCTCTCTCGATTGTGTGCAAAAAATTAGTGCGGGCGTTGATGCTTAAATGAAAATAACGTAAGTGAAATCTAGAACGAAGTAATGGTGATCGTTGCTTGCCAATGGTGGCGGCAACAAAGACGTCGTTAGAAAACTAGCGTATACATATGTATACGTATCTACATATGAATGTAAATGAAAAAAATAAAAAATATAGCATCCATATCTATGGTACTGGTATGTTAATATTAAATTTTCAATTAACTGAATGATAATTCTAAAAGCAATGGGCCATATGAATAAAAACCAATAGCAATTGTTTTTTCTTAAAATATCAGACTTTTTACTTAAATTTATTTGAATGAATCGAGCAAAATATAGAGTCCGACCGATGCCGGGGCTAGTATTGGCCAAAAGAGTCTGTATCGGCCGTTTTTGGCCAATTCTTGAATGAGATAATGTTAATTAGTTATTTGAATATGTTTTTCTTTTGTTATTATAAAAGTTTATAAAAGCATTTGTTTTTGAAATGAAATTATATTCAGGACTTAATCGGCCGATGCTTTTATAAACTTTTATAATAACAAAAGAAAAACATAATCAAATAACTAAACAATACTTCAATCATTAATCGGTCGGATTCTAGTAAAAGGTCTGAAACTTCAGGAAAAGCAATTGCTTAGTGTTCGTTCATACGGCCCAATGAACTATCAGGCAATGCTGACATAAATATTGCATTAAAATAATACATAGTTATGAAATTAAAAACATTATTCTGTTTATCAGCTATTTAGCTGAATACATATACTTACATACATACATATGTATGAAGTTAGGATATTTCCTAAAACTGTAGTGCGATTCCCATTTTTCCTAACGACCGATATTCGTTATTGATAATGAACGACGTTTGTAGCTTGCAGTAGCGAATAGGCTATTCTCAAAAACACACTTAACGACAGAATTCGTTAGACATGTCGATAAAGGAGTTTACGAGGATTGTCGTTAATTACAAAGACAAATATGGCAATATTGACGTTTGGCACTCAATATTTAAAAGAAACATTTTATTGTTGCGCGTATTATTGTTGTCGAGATTGTTGTTTGTGAATACAATATGAAAAAAAAACAGAAGCGCAAAAGCTACTACGGAGCAGTACCATAGGATGCTGGACTTTTTATTTTGCAATAAGGGCCTCGTGCAAGGCGAATTTCATAAGGTGGTGTTAGCCGTATATAAGTAAAAAATTCCACTAACAAATTATACGCACAATTACAGTATGAATTACAACAAACACATCATTTTGACGTTATACTTTCCACGTCTAAAAATTCAGCTGTGGCTCTAGTTTTCGACGTAACAGTAATTGAAAATTTGTTAAAATGTTTAAGTTTTTTTAATAACTCCAACAAAGTCCGTTAAAGTCATTTTATTAAACTTTATCACANTTTGGCCAATTCTTGAATGAGATAATGTTAATTAGTTATTTGAATATGTTTTTCTTTTGTTATTATAAAAGTTTATAAAAGCATTTGTTTTTGAAATGAAATTATATTCAGGACTTAATCGGCCGATGCTTTTATAAACTTTTATAATAACAAAAGAAAAACATAATCAAATAACTAAACAATACTTCAATCATTAATCGGTCGGATTCTAGTAAAAGGTCTGAAACTTCAGGAAAAGCAATTGCTTAGTGTTCGTTCATACGGCCCAATGAACTATCAGGCAATGCTGACATAAATATTGCATTAAAATAATACATAGTTATGAAATTAAAAACATTATTCTGTTTATCAGCTATTTAGCTGAATACATATACTTACATACATACATATGTATGAAGTTAGGATATTTCCTAAAANGTTCATACGGCCCAATGAACTATCAGGCAATGCTGACATAAATATTGCATTAAAATAATACATAGTTATGAAATTAAAAACATTATTCTGTTTATCAGCTATTTAGCTGAATACATATACTTACATACATACATATGTATGAAGTTAGGATATTTCCTAAAACTGTAGTGCGATTCCCATTTTTCCTAACGACCGATATTCGTTATTGATAATGAACGACGTTTGTAGCTTGCAGTAGCGAATAGGCTATTCTCAAAAACACACTTAACGACAGAATTCGTTAGACATGTCGATAAAGGAGTTTACGAGGATTGTCGTTAATTACAAAGACAAATATGGCAATATTGACGTTTGGCACTCAATATTTAAAAGAAACATTTTATTGTTGCGCGTATTATTGTTGTCGAGATTGTTGTTTGTGAATACAATATGAAAAAAAAACAGAAGCGCAAAAGCTACTACGGAGCAGTACCATAGGATGCTGGACTTTTTATTTTGCAATAAGGGCCTCGTGCAAGGCGAATTTCATAAGGTGGTGTTAGCCGTATATAAGTAAAAAATTCCACTAAAAAATTATACGCACAATTACAGTATGAATTACAACAAACACATCATTTTGACGTTATACTTTCCACGTCTAAAAATTCAGCTGTGGCTCTAGTTTTCGACGTAACAGTAATTGAAAATTTGTTAAAATGTTTAAGTTTTTTTAATAACTCCAACAAAGTCCGTTAAAGTCATTTTATTAAACTTTATCACATGACTATTTTTTAAAATAATCTTCATTATAAAAATCAGTCATGTTAAAAATTTTATTAAAACAACACAAAAACTGAGTTATTTACAAACAAGTTAAAATTGAAGCAAATGTTCAAGTGTCGTTATCTCGAACACTGGAGCAAATCTGACAAAACGGGGGGAGCCATTGAACTTAGAATGCCCCAATTAAGTGAGATCAACTATCAAAACCTTTGCCTAAGTTTTCAACTTGCACAGTGTAATAAATAAAAAGAATAATAATAATAAGCACATCTATATGTGATAAATGTTTATTTATTAGCTATTTTTTATTATAATAGTTTGCTTACCGATGAATTTTGCCTAATTTAATAATAATAAAAACTTAAACCAATTTTATCGTTAGGCTTTTCAACGACAAAATATTCGTAGCTAGGCTATCTACAAATTTCGTTAGACAACTGTCAAAGCTATCGACAATATTCGCTAAAAGTGTTCTTGAGAATTGCAGTTAACGAAATTTGTCGGAAACGTTAGCTAACGATGCGAATATTGTCGTTAAGAAAAATGGGAATCGCACTACTGGCCAAGGAATGACACAATCCGTATTATGTATATGATTACGCTTGCGAATATTAATATTTTATTAAAATGAATATAAAATATTATTGTGGAACGATTTTCCGTCTTCTCTTGTCAAATCAAAAATTGTTCCACAATACATCATAGTCTTGCCCTGTCGGAAACACCAACAACAAAAATGANAGTTATTTACAAACAAGTTAAAATTGAAGCAAATGTTCAAGTGTCGTTATCTCGAACACTGGAGCAAATCTGACAAAACGGGGGGAGCCATTGAACTTAGAATGCCCCAATTAAGTGAGATCAACTATCAAAACCTTTGCCTAAGTTTTCAACTTGCACAGTGTAATAAATAAAAAGAATAATAATAATAAGCACATCTATATGTGATAAATGTTTATTTATTAGCTATTTTTTATTATAATAGTTTGCTTACCGATGAATTTTGCCTAATTTAATAATAATAAAAACTTAAACCAATTTTATCGTTAGGCTTTTCAACGACAAAATATTCGTAGCTAGGCTATCTACAAATTTCGTTAGACAACTGTCAAAGCTATCGACAATATTCGCTAAAAGTGTTCTTGAGAATTGCAGTTAACGAAATTTGTCGGAAACGTTAGCTAACGATGCGAATATTGTCGTTAAGAAAAATGGGAATCGCACTACTGGCCAAGGAATGACACAATCCGTATTATGTATATGATTACGCTTGCGAATATTAATATTTTATTAAAATGAATATAAAATATTATTGTGGAACGATTTTCCGTCTTCTCTTGTCAAATCAAAAATTGTTCCACAATACATCATAGTCTTGCCCTGTCGGAAACACCAACAACAAAAATGAGAATATATTTTGGTTTTAAATTTAAAGCAATCAGGCAGTACAAAAAAAATGGGTCGATCAGAAATTTGTGCAGTTACTTTGCTACTGCTATTCAATTGTCCCGGAACTGGAAAATACATTCATGATTGAAGTCGGAAATTGCCAACTTAACCAAATCGCTCGGGATACATAGGTACGAAGATAAATTTACATATATATCTAAACAGCTAGGATTATGTGAACTCTATCCATAGAGGCTATAGTTAATTTTGTAGATAAGTCTAAGATTGGCACAGTGGACTCTTGTTAGCTGAATCCCTTAGGCTAGTGCATTTACAGCGTATTTGGAGCAACCTCTGACATTTATTGTCTGATTCCTAGTGTACTTAGTATGCTAATTAATGCATTTCATGATCCTTATGATAATTCTACGTAATTTCTATTTATAACTGAACTCATACCAAGTTTTTCAGCAGTTCAGCGTTTTTAATTCTGGATTTCTCTTAGTCATAGAACAATTTATATATCGCAATGACCTACAAAATAGTAGTTAGCCTATTTAATAGGCCTCATAAATAAAAAGTAGGCTTAAGCTCAGTCAATTTTTTCACTGATGAAGTAAGCTCAATCTTAAGAATTTGTACTGAATATCGAGTCGGGAGTTCAAACTCACTTCTTATGCANTCAATTTTTTCACTGATGAAGTAAGCTCAATCTTAAGAATTTGTACTGAAAATCGAGTCGGGAGTTCAAACTCACTTCTTATGCATAAGGCCCAATATATTATGTATATTTTGGAAAACATTTATTTACTACAGTTTACAAATATAGTTAAACTTATCAGACTACTCATAAAACATTCTGCAGATACTCATTATCTTCCTTTACAAATTTATGTGCAACATCTTCAGGTACATCTACTTCTTTATAGTTGTCCAAGCCAATTTCCTCTTCTTTCCTGCAATAAGCCAAATATGAAAAATATATAAATTAAAATTAATCCAACATCAACCCCGCAAAAAACTCGCACTCACTTTATTAAAATATCCACTACATTCTCGCACGCCAACAGACATTCTTTATCTTTGCCAAATTTTGATTCCCATTTGTGATATTCACGCAATATTTCATAAACACTTTTCGAACGCAAAATCTCTCGATATCGCTTTGTTGCACATAGCTGAAGCAGTGATTCTAAGAGCATTTTGCGCAAATCTGGATCTTCTTCGCGTGTTTTCGTTTCAGGGAGGTACTAAAAGTTAACAGCAATGTGAGCAAAGTTGAAATATATGTAACTTATCAAATTACTTGCAGTTCCAATGGCAATTTATCATTCTCTTCATCGGTGAACTCTTCGGGACCACAAAGTGGATAGAGTATCGCATGTAGTATGTCATCTTTTTCATTCAAAATAATGCTGTGATACATGGGATCGAAGCAAATATTTTTTAAAATACCTATAGTGCCACCACGGCGCACAATTGAGGGTTCGTATGAAGCGAAAGGTAAAATTTTTTCAAGGAAATCATATTTGGCATTGCAAGCCAGTTTTCGTCCTCTGCCACTTTGCGTCAGGTTACAAAAGATTGGAGCTGCGGTAAATAAAATTGTAAGATAAATTTATAAAAATCTAGCATGCTAATTTGCATAAACATTAACCTAAATAATGCAACCTCGCCTTCTCATTATTATAGTCCAATTTTGTGAATGCTTTTAGTAGACTAGGCAGTGTCTTACTATCTTTTTCCAGTTCAATAATTATGTCTTCAACTAACTTTTCACTACGCGTCAAATTACTCAGCACCATAGTCCAGGGATCTGCCAGCTTGGATTTCTCGTCTGTTATTTGCTTAATAGCCTCGGAAATCAAGGGAAAAGCCTAAAAATACATTAAATATAGAATATGTACGGTCAAGCAAAAATATAGAAGTATCTTCCTACTGGAATAAGCGACTTTGCAGTTTCATACACTCGTATAGCGCCCTCTCCTTCCGCAGACAGATTGATAAGGCTCAATATGGCATCCTTGGCCACAGTATGATTGTCATCGTTTGTGAGATTGAAAAGCGCTACTAGCACATCATTTAGTGTCAAGATGGCTTTCTTGCCCTCTTCAGAACCAGTCAAAGCTATTAGTTAACGAAAGGTCAGTTTTAGATATAGAAAAAAGGAATATGTTTACCTACAAAGCACATGTGTCAATGCTACCGCTTTCAAATCCAGCCTTTGTGTGGGATGCATAAATGTTATTAACTCCTTTATGGTGGCAGTGTGAGCATCTTCACTGGTTTCAGCATTTGCCATTTTAAATTTGCAAAATACAAAATGCTTTTTTATTTATTTATTACAAACTTTGGAAATACTAGCGCAAAAATGTGCACGCGGCGAATTATCACAAAAAACATAAACAATGCCAGTGTTGTTTACTTTCGAAATTTTCCCATTTTGGGTGTAAAACACAAAGCTGAAGGTGCAACTGTATCAAATTTTTGCACTTTTTACTATTTAACAATAATTATTAACCTATCTTATCACATCTCATATTATTTGTTTTAAATCGAATCTAATAAATATATGTAAATTTTGTTATATATATGCTATTATGTTAAAATATACCGGGGCATAACTTTTGGCCAATACTCTCGAGTACGCAACACTATCGGACAAATTCAAATGATCAGCTGTTTATCATCAACAGCTGTGCAGTGGCTGAATATGCGCTGAATAAATGAAACGTAGGGTTGTATTTCATATTTATTTAATAACGTTGCTTACGTTTTGAACTTTGCAAATTACAAAATATATTGTGCAACATTTACCCTTTCATTACCGGGAGAGTCTTTGGGACCTCGTTTTTCTTTTAGGGACGAAACAAAAAGCCAGTAATGTACATAATTGTAGAGAGTTTTCGTAGCAGACTTTGAAATAAGGTATAATCAAAATGAAATAAGTTGTCCGATATAATTAAAAACTACTACAAATTAAAAGAAAGTTGAAAATGTTTCACTGTGACGCAAACCCTAGATGTCTTTCGGACTCTTAAAAAAAAACATGTTTATTATAGATAATAAGAATTGCAATGAATTTATTCATAAATGGTTGTAAGCATTTTATAACGGATGATGCAATAATTATGACTTTTTCACCAGACTCACGAAAGAAGAGTTTAGTTGTTTTAGTGGCTACTAAACCCCGCTCGGGTCGGATTTTCAATGAAAGTTGTCATCAGGCTCAGCTAAAGGGAGGCCCAGGAAGTGTGCAACTTCCACCGGGTCTGACCTTGGGGGCAGGTGCGTTGGCTGGGTGAGGTTTTGGAGTCATGCGAAGAGGTGCCGTGAGTCCTGTGGCGACCCCAGCATGCCGGGCGTTCATTGGAAATGTCTTCTGTTTCTTCTGCTCAAGTACGAGTTTAGCCTGCTCCAGTAGTCAGAGAGAAGTTGGGATATTATGGAGAGGGTTAGGCTGCTTGCACTGAAGAAGCGAGAAAGTTCGGAGATGTAACCGTTTACTTACGAGCACAATCAATTTCCAGACACCACAAAAGACAATCGCGACTACCTCTGGTGCTTGAGGGAGATTTCATCTGTAAAAATTAAACAGCAGAGGGGAAAGGACACCATCCTGTGTGACCCCCTGTTTAATTTTCCTCGGTTTGCTGGTCTTGTCTCAGAAAATGACTGACGAATGTCGACCACTCAGAGAATTCGCCGGACCACCATTTAAGTCCCTGTGGGAGAGAGGAAGCCTCAATGTCTTCTAGAAGCGCGGAGTGACTGACGGTGTCAAACGCCTTTGACAGATCCAACGCTACTTGGAATGTTCTCTTACAGGGGCAGTTTCGGTTAATGCCATGTGTTATCTGAGTGTTAATGGCGTTAAGTGCAGTTGTTGTACCTCCTTGTGGTCAGGTGGTTCGTATACTGCGGGAGTAGCAAGGCCTCAAGTGTTTTCACTATCAGGGAAAGGAGAGTCATCGGACGATAAGAAACTCCCATGTTGGACGGTTTCCCCGGTTTGAGCAGTGGGACCACCCTCCCCATTTTCCAGATATCCGGAATGATGAGCGTGAGCATGCACACGTTAAGGACCTTGGTAAGGTAGTCTGCTCCCGTCGGTCCGATGGCTTTGGAGGCTTCGCCTTCCTGATGATTATCCGAACTTCACCCCTGGTAAAAACAAGATGCACACAAGGTGTTGGTAAAATAGCTCGCGCATCGCTCCAGGTCCGACGTGGCGCGAAGGCCCAAAGAGATTTCGACTCTGTCGTCGCGCTTTGTCTGATTGGACAGTCACCTCCTGTTGACCAAACCTTGCTCATGCGAGAGAAGTTACAGGTCTTCATTTCTACATAAAATCATGCTCGAAGTCCAACCGACTCTTTTGAGCTGGCGAAGGTTAACCTGAGGTGCGCCTTATTCGGGACATTCGGTTGTCCTAGGCCTTAGTCTTATCATCCTTCCCTTCCGTAGAAGCGTTCGCGCAAATTTGGCTGATATTGTGTAGTGTTTGGAGTGGAGTTTCCGCCCAGCCACAAATATTCCACAAAATTTGTGCGACGTCTCGTGGAAGTTGGAGTAGATATTTCATGCTAGAAAATGTGTGCAAATCTATCTACCAACTATATGAATTGATAAAACTTTGATTGTGTTTTCCCACAAAATTGAAATCAAGTCCCACCACATGCAATCTTAACTATAGTACAAATATCCGCTATTTAAAGCGCAATTTATATCGGCAAGATTTGGTAATAACATTATCCTCGTTATGTGACTTTATGACATTCGATACGGTACTAGGGTTCTGGTACTCGATTACAAAAAATATCGTTTTAAAGCTATCGAGTAGAAAATATCGGTATCAATGCTAAAATTATCGATATGGTATCGTATCGAAATTCGTATGCCTAATTATAAACGACAAGTTCATTGGTAAAAGATATTTATTACCCGATTTTGTTAAACAATAAAAAGGTGTTCGCACGAGTCGATTTTGCGTTCAACTCACGCAGGGTTGCACGAAAAAAAGTTGAATGGCTAAATGTTGGCTGGCGATCAACTTTGTTGAGAGCGATTAGTTGAAAGGCTGTTCAACCAAAAGTAGAATGCAAAGTTGAACAATGCAAACGCCTGTTTAGGGCGAATATTTTTATATTTTTCTTTATATTTTGATATTTTTAGCCATTCAAACGGTGCCGGAAAAATCGCCTCGTGCGAAAGCCCTATAACGCTCAAAAGTTTTCCAATTCCCTAAAACCATTATAGAATATTAACCAGCGTTTTTAGCTTAATTTTTACCAAAAACCAAAGCACGACCCAATGACAGCAAGTAATTAATGACTCTTCACTGACTTAACTTCTTTTGATTTCCTTTAACATTCGAGTGATTTTATTTTTTTTATAGTTGTTTATAAGTTGTTTGCGCTTATAATGCACGAAATTTGATTACCAATGTCTAATTAAGGTGCTTCCAATAAAAATCTTGAGCAATATTAACCAGCAAAATGATAAAGGAGATTGCTGAGATGAAGAGAAACTCAGCCGTGACAGCAGAAGTGGTTTCCTTCATTCGGCAGCGCTAATGATAATAAATTGATTGAAGCTCGAAGAGTAAGAAATCTGAAAGTAAAACACAAACTGCACACCCACTTACATATATATACAGTACATATTTATGCAGTTATAACAGAGCATTGCAACGCCAATAAATAACCGAAATACTTAAATATGGCGACGAGCAGTACTGAGAAAAACAACAACAACCGGCAAAATAACTACCGACATACATACATACATTCATATATATGTATGTATGGACAAGTGCATATGCCAAGTCTGAACCATACTCACAATGCTTGGTACTTCCCACTACGAGAACAGTAGGTGAATATGTCAAAAAAAAAGATTCCGGATCACAATGCGGTAAAATTGCGGTTTTGTTATTGAACCTTTTATTACATAAGTTACTCCAATTTGGTGCTAAAATGAAGTAATTGTATGGAACTGTATAATATTTAAGTGATTCACTAAGTTATAAGCCTTTGTTTAGCTTGCTGTATAATAACCGATTCTTTTAACGGTTAACAAATTAAGCTGATTTAAAAAGTATGTCCTAATTTTAATTTAAAACACATTCTTAAGCACATATCTACATACATACATATGTATGAACTTATGTAAGTATGCATTATATGCACATATATGAACTTTGACTAAAGATTTCCTTATTTTGTTTTTAAAGGAAATCTTCTATTTATTAATACGCTCACATACATTTTTCCACCCTTCCTTTGGCGATTTTACGGAACCGATGCCAAAACCATGAACACCATTGGGCAAGTATTTTACTGTGGATGAGGAGTTTTTATGATTTCAAAATTAGTTCGAAATCGTCATTTAAAAATTTCCGTATTTGTGTTGAGTCAATTTAAATTGTTTTCCTATTTGAAATTAAATTTTGTTTTACTTCGTATTTGACATTAACGGCTCTATTCTGTATCAGTGAAAATTCTTCTCACAGTTTTTTTTACGAAAAATATATGAAATAGTTTAAATTTCTCAGTAAACAAGCTTTTGTCACCCCGACGCAATTGGAAAGAAATAAACTATAAAAAGGATTAAGATAAAAAAATGAAGGCAAAGTTAACGATAAAGAGGAAAATGAGAACATTGAGAAATGCATAAGAATTATTGTTACTATGAGGGTAGGAAAATATATATAATTTTCGACAGGAATCGAAATAAATCAGACAAGTTACCGAAATTTATCGATTCATCGAAGTTTATAGTTATTGAAATTTAACAAGTTATCCATGTTTATGGTGTGTTCGAAATTTGTAGATACAGCAAATTCATTGTCGAAGTTTGCGAATAGTTAACGAGCTTTAAGAATTTATGGGTTTATCGAAATTTGTCAAGTTAATGAAATTTAGCAAGTTATTGATATCAAATGAATGCTTATTATTTATAGAATTAACGAAATTTACCGAGTTATCGTAATGCAACGATTTATTTGAACTTATCGAGTTATCGATATTTATAGATTTATAGAAATTTGTCGATTTACCGAATCGAAGTTTTTGGAATTTTTAAAATTAAGTTATCGAAATTTCAAGGTTACATAGGTTTATAGAGATATCATTGCTTACCGAATTTCATCGTGTCGCAACAGTGTAACGAGTTATCGAAATTTGTCGATAGATTTCTAACAATAAGGAGCTACTAAAATTAACCGAGTTATCGCAATTTATTGTTATCTAAAGTGTATCGAGGAATCGATATATAAATTTTTGAGCTATCGAAATTCATAAAGCTTGGAAAGGCATTTAGCAATGTTGGTGGAGTTATCGAATTTTGTTGAGTTATCGGATTTTATCGAAATTTATCGACAAACTGGAAAGAATCCAAGTCCCGCCA